GATGGATCTGCAGTTCAGTGAGCCAGTGCTGATTTCTCCAGGCAACAAAATGTCATGTCAATCAACTGACTAAGGCCTGCAGAAGTTCTACTAGGAATGTTCTGAGTTTGTTTCATGGTGATTTAGTACAGTTTCATGAGTGTTCCTGTACAACCTGCTTGTGTGATTATGTGGCATACACCTGGTTTCATTGCCATTTCTATTTTGTAAATCACAGAATTATATAGTTGGAAGGGACCCTGGGGATCATCTAGTCTAAACCCTTGCAATGCAGGAATCTCAGCTAACGCATCCATGACAGATGGCCATCCAACCTCTGCTTAAAAACCTCCAAGGAAGGAGAACCCACCACTTTCTGAGGGAGGCAGTCCCACTGTCGAACAGCTCTTACTGTCAGAAAGTTCTTCCTGATGTTTAGCAGGAATCTCCTTGCTTGTAACTTGAAGCCATTGGTTTGGGTCTTAACCTTTGGAGCTGGAGAAAACAAGCTTGCTCCATCTTTGATATGACAGCTCTTGAGATAGTTGAAGATGCCTATCATATCTTCTTTCACTTTCCTCTTTTGCAGGCTAGACATACCCAACTCCTTCAACCATTCCTCATAAGGCTTGTTTACCATATTTTGATTTAAGTAGAGGGACTTGTGCCTTATTCCAGGCTTCTGGGTAGCCTTGCAGAGCAGCTGCATCATCCACATGTTTGTGCAGTATTGCTGAAGGCATTCTGCAGAATTATACCAGCCAGCTTTGGGAACCTCTTATCAACAAATGAAGCATGCCTTGCTCTCCTGGCACAAAATATTGATGGTGCATGCACCACCCCAATGTGATCTTTCAGAGTAGGGGTGAGGAATTGGTGTTCCTCCAGACCTTGGTGGACCTTTGAGAGCTGAGACAGGAGGTAGGGGATCTGGAGATATTTCACGGCAGATAATGTTTCCTTTGACTCTGAAGCAAAGACAAATCTGTTGCTGTTCACCAAATCACTTTAAAGAACACTGCCCGAAGCAAAAGATGAGACATAAATTATTTACAAGAATACAATCAGCAGTGAGAGCCCTCGTCCAGGGCATCACTCCAATTAAAACCTAATGGAAAAGGCCACATTTTAAACCTGCATGAGATAAGTAAATTGGTAAATCATGCCAATTAATTGATGGATGCATTTAGCCCAAATGAAAACGGTGAATATGAGATTCTGGTAGAACCACAGGCAAGGCAGGAAGGAGGCAGAGATGGACAGAAAAATCTCCAGAAAGGCAAGTGATGCATCTCCGAAGTGTGCCTGATACTAATACTATTAACATTTTGAAAGAAGGGGAAGACACACCTCTCTGTCCAGACCTTTGAGAAAGTTTTAGTTCATAGAAAAGGTAAGAGGCAACATGACTGAAGTTTATTAATTTACACATGGCATGGAGAAAGTAGACGGAGAAAGGTTTTTCTTCCTCTGTCATTGCACTAGAACCTCTGGACAACCAAAGAAACTGAACGCTGGAAGATACAGGATAGAGAAAAGAAAGTGCTTTGTGCAGTGCCCAGTTAAACTTCGGAACTCAATCCCACAAGAGGCAGTGATGGCTACCAACCTGGATGGTTTTAAAAGAGGATGAGACAAATTCATGGAAGAAAGGGCTATCAGTGGCTACTAGCCATGATGACTATGTTCTGCCTCCACAGTTGGGAGGCAGGGATGCCAACTTGAATGAAACACTGTAGCCATTAAAGTCTAACAGTATTAATATGCATTGAGGTCCTTCATGAGATCTATGGATTTTCAGTTCATCTGGTTAATGCTAGTGCCTTCTTCAGGGCTACATTTCAGAAGAGTAGCCATGATCACCTGTTGTAACTCAGGACTGCAATACCTCAAGGACTGCCTCTCCCCATATAAACTGACCTGGACTTTGTGTTCTTTGTCCGAGGCCCTTCATCATGTGTGTATCTCATGAGGTCCGAAGGGTGGTGACACAAGAACAAACATTTTCTGCAGTAGCTCCCCATTTGTGGAATGCTCTCCCCAGGGAAGTTTCATCCTTATATATCTTTAGGTGCCAGGCAAAAAACGTTCTTTTCCAACCAGGCTTTGGGCTGATTAATATTCTACAGCCTTTTAAATGTCTTTGTGGGAGGGGGAGTTATTGTTATGTTGTTTCTCTTTTAACTATTTATATGTGCTTTTATCTTGTGTTTTTATCTTGTTAATCGCCCTGAGATCTTTTGATGAAGGGCAGTATATCAACAACAGCAGCAGCAGCAGCAGCAGCAGCAGCAGCAAGTGTTGGTGCTGACCTTTAAAGTCCTAAACAGCCTCGGTCCTGTATACCTGAAGGAGCATCTCCACCCCCACCATCCAGCCCTGACACTGAGGTACAGCGCCGAGGGCCTTCTGGTGGTTCCCTCACTGCGAGAAGTGAGGTTACAGGGAACCAGGCAGAGGGCCTTCTAAGTGGTGGTGCCTGCCCTGTGGCATGCTGTCAAGGCAATGAACAACTATTTTACTTTTAAAAGACAACTGAAGGTGGCCCTGTTTAGGGATGTTTTTAATGTCTGACGCTGTATTGTTTTTAATATTCAGTTGGAAGCCACCCACAATGGCTGGGGAAACCCAGCCAGATGGGCGGGGTATAAATAATAAATTATTATTATTATAGCAGCAGCAGCAGCTTCTACTAGATCTTGCATCTCTGAAAGGTAATGGAAGCAGACATCAACCTCCTGATGCTCAGAAAATGTGTCTTAGTGCTGCCGGATTTTGTTTTTCACTTACAACAGGACAGCATGGCTATCCTTCTAGAATGTGTCGGGATAGGCTGAGAAAGGAAAGAGCTATTTAATTTAAAGTGAAACTAGAAACACAGCATGAAGCAAGGCAGTTGAGCAAATTATTTCCATGGGTTGGATAGCAGGCCCTGCAAAAAGACTGAGCAAATATGAACGTCACAATATTGGAATTTGCCATGCAAGTCAAAAAGCACTCTTTAATGTTTGAACCTCATAAATGATTAAACCTCATAAACCTCATATATATAGATATTCAGATGGGATCCATTTCCATGTAAGACAGACGGTATCATGTTCGCCAGATGGAAACTGCTGGCAAGTCATCTACTATATTAAGTACCAGCCTGTTTGGTTAGTCCACCGAACGATAAAACAGAATCTCTTTTATTAAATACATTCATCTAAAAACCATGCCCTTGGATTCCACTGTCCTTCAGTCAGATTCCTGTTATAGGACGTCCAGTTGCCAATTTTTCTCACTTTCATTTCTGTGTTTTTGAGCGAAAATGGAGCTGATATGTAGATTTCTATAATTCACTCTGTGCTGGTCTACTATTAAAGACAATGCAGAGGCTTTGGCAAGTGCAAAATGTGCTTGTTAGCTTGGTAGTAGTAGTAGTAGTAGTAGTAATAATAATAATGATAATGATAATAATATTATAGTACCCCACCCATCTGATTGGGTTGCCTCAGCCACTCTCGGTGGCTTCTGATACGCACACATACACACACACTAAAACATTACACATTAAAAAGCTTGCATCTACAGGGCTGCCTTCAGATGACTTCTAAGAGTTATATAGTTACTCATCACCTTGACGTCTGATGGGAGGGTGTTCCATAGAGTGGGTGCCACTACTGAGAAGGCCCTCTACCTGGTTCCTTGTAACTTCACCTGTAACAGTAGGGTCAGCCCAATGGGGCCATGTGGCACCAGTCCTGAGAGCACTTTCCCCATATCAACAATCCTGAACCCTGTGATTGGCAGGTGATGCCTTGTTGGTAGTTGTCCAGTTGGCGCCAACCCATGACAGAGCCTTTTCAGTGGTGGTTCCCCAGTTGTGGAGTGCCCTCTCTTGTGAGGTATGCCTGTCTCCATCATTATTAGCTTTCAGGCAGAACTTGAGTACCTTTCTGTTTACCCAGGCATTTGGTGGCTGAAGAATATTTTTCTTCCCAGAAACTTCCAGATCGTTGGATGGGAAGTGTGTTTTCAATTGCAATCACTTTAGGAATGCCTTGAACTGTAACTGTTTTTAGAGTGCTTTGATTGGTTTTATAATGTTTGTTTGTTTTTTGCTATGCTTTTGTTTTTAAATTGAATATCTGTTTGCTGCCCTGGGCTCCTTGGAGAGGAAAAGCTGGAAATAAATCCAATCAATCAATGAAGCAAACACACACACACACACACAAACAAACAAACAAACAAACAATGTGAGAGTAAAGTCTTGCTCCTGGAGGGAGAAACAGCAGGCAAGGTATGGACATAACCACACCATTCCCCCCCTCACCTTTAGTTTCTTATGTCCCTGTCTTCTTTTTTTACTCCCCTCCCTCTTCCCTCCATTTTCCTTTCTTAAGAACAGCCAGATCTTACGCAGTCCATTCCCTACAGCTGTCAGCCAGATGCCTGTGGGAAGACCACAACCAGGACATGAATTTACTATTTCACAGTGCGCAACTGGGTAGAATACCAAGAGCCTTCCATTATAATCCTTCACAAGGAAAAGGGATGAAGGCTACCAGCACCATGCATACACAGAAGGAAGTCCTAAGCCACATTAATATCATGCGTTTAAAGCACTACGATACTGCTTTAAACCATCGTGGCTTCCCCCAGAGAATCCTGGGAAGTGTAGTTTGTTAATGCTGCTGAGAATTGTTAGGAGACCACTCTCCTCCTCACAGAGCTAAAATTCCTAGACTTCCCTGGGAATCATAGAGTTGGAAGGGACCCCGAGGATCATCTAGTACAGTGGTGCCCCGCAAGACGAATGCCTTGCAAGACGGAAAACCCGCTAGATGAAAGGGTTTTCCATTTTTCAATGCGCTTCACAGGACGAATTTCCCTATGGGCTTGCTTCGCAAGACGAAAATCCGCTAAGCCGCTAATAGGGTTGCTTCGCAAGACGAAAAAAACGCTAGACGAAGATACTCGCGGAACGGATTAATTTCGTCTTGCGAGGCACCACTGTATTCTTGCAATGCAGGAATATGTTCCTATACGGGGATTGAACCTGCGACCTTAGCCTTATCAGCACCACACTCTAACCAATTTAGCTATGCAGGAAGAGGCTTTGACTCTTAAACCACTCTATGGATTGTGGCTCCGTGCAGGCAACAGGGGTCTGCTAACAACTCTGAGGACTTGAATTCAGCAGTGATTACTCCTTGGTAAAATGGCAGTGTTACTTTTTCTTAAAGCTAAAATTTCAGAGATGGGAAAGGGGCTGGAATATCCCTGGGAGGAGGGAAGGCCCCCACGGACCCCCGGCAGCTACAGCCCTGAGGCCAAACTTCCTGCCCTTTTACTGTCAATCATTTGGGATTGTCCTTTGCTTGGACCATTTGCTCAAACACAGTGCTCTCAAACCCGCAAGCATGCCGGTCTGTTATGGCCTCTAACGTTGATGCCCTGATACTATTGGAGACTTCATCACTCAGTGCTACAATTTCCCACTGCCTGGAGCATTGCTGAAGGCTTGTTTCCTCCATAGGTTCTTTGCTAAGGAATCTGACTCACCAAAGTCTGATGGCTGAGCTTCAGAAGCGGAGCCAGAGCAGCAAAGAAGAGCATCGTTTCACTTCCAGCTCTGCACTTGTTTTGACAGGCAGCTTGTTGCCAGCATTGGGTAGTGTCCAGCGCACTGCTCCAAGAATGTCCCATCAGTACAAGGATTTCTGCTTGCGTGACAAAATGTTCTCCTCATCTCCTCCCCTCCCCCTTCCCACTAAGCTAGCATTTCCACCATAAATTTGTCCAATTCTCTTTTAAAGCTATCCACGTTGATGGCCATCGCTACATCTTGTAGCAGTGAATTCCATACTTTATGTGTTTTGTGAAGTACAGAATATGGAATATGGAATATCTGGCTTAGGGCAGAGCCTGACAGGGAGGTATGGTGGACTCCCTGGTCCTGAATGGGGTAGCTGTGCCCCTGAAGGATCAGGTGCGCAGCCTGAGAGTCATTTTGGACTCACAACTGTCCATGGAGGCGCAGGTCAATACTGTGTCCAGGGCAGCTGTCTACCAGCTCCATCTGGTACGCAGGCTAAGACCCTATCTGCCCGCAGACTGTCTCACCAGAGTGGTGCATGCTCTAGTTATCTCCCGCTTGGACTACTGCAATGTGCTGTACGTGGAGCTACCTTTTGAAGGTGACTCAGAAACTACAACTAATCTAGAATGCGGCAGCTAGACTGGTGACTGGGAGCAGTCACGAGACCATATAACACCAGTCCTGAAAGACCTTCATTGGCTCCCAGTATGTTTCTGAGCACAATTCAAAGTGTTGGTGCTGACCTTTAAAGCCCTAAATGGCCTTGGCCCAGTATACCTGAAGGAGCGTCTCCACCCCCATTGTTCAGCCTAGACACTGAGGTCCAGCTCTGAGGGCCTTCTGGCTGTCCCCTCACTGCGAGAAGTGAGGCTACAGGGAACCAGGCAGAGGGCCTTCTTGGTGGTGGTGCCCTCCCTGTGGAACACGCTCCCATCAAATGTCAAGGAAATAAACAACTATCTGACATTTAGAAGACATCTGAAGGCAGCCCTGTTTAGGGAAGTTTTTAATGTTTGATGTTTTATTCTGTTTTTAATCTGTTGGGAGCCGCCCAGAGTGGCTGGGGAAACCCAGCTGGATGGGCGGGGTATACATAATAAATTGTTGTTGTTGTTGTTGTTGTTACAGCTCAATAAACTTTCATTTGTTTCTACAGTCTTGAGTGTGTGGTCCTTGCTAGTAGTCTAGCCTTACTCGCAGGGATGTGAATACAAACCCAGATTTACAATGAAAAGATGTGGATCCATGGTTGTACCGTGGTGGCAATAGGCACATTGATATCCTCCTCATTTTGCTGCATCAGTGCCATGAATGGCTGTCCATCATTTAGCAGGTTAAAAAGGTTGGTGGAGAATACAGAATCAATGAGAGCACTGCCCAGAGGGCTTCCTGTCTGCTCTCTGTGGGTGGAGGGAGATGTGAAACACGGAAAGATTATTCTGTATGATTTAAGCTTATTATTCTCCTCTACGTAGAAAACTATACTCGCAGCAACTTATCAAACTATAAATTGAACAGAAACAGAAATAGGATATATAATACCGACTGTGAAAAATAACAACATATAAAAGAAGCTCTGAAAAAGAAAGAAGCCGACCAGTCAATTATCCAGAATTTATGTAGAAAGAGACTGCTTTTCATCAAATATGTGTCCTGGTAGTTTTACCTGGGCATGGTATTCCATAAAGCACACTGCACCAAGCAAGAGCCTCACTTCTTGTCCCTACTTATCTCACCTTGATGGGAAATCCAACAAGGATGTGTTCTCAAAAAGATGGTGCCACTGGGAGAATCCATTCCATAAGACAGGGGTATCCATTATGGTGCCCCCCAGATGTTGCTGGATTTTTCACCAAACAGGGATAATGAAATCACTAGCATTTGGAAGTGATAGAATGAAGGATGTTAGAAACTAAACTGATTACTGAAGGACAAGATCCTAATAAAGTTATTACAAAGTGGGGTTTGATTACAAATCATTGGAATACAAAATTTCAGTAGAAGGTTAATCCAAATACACTTTTTGTGGTTATTTAAACTTGGCTGTATAATGGGAAAATATATCACTGTCAAGGGTGTATTCTAAGCATAATCACTGTTCTCTCCGAAAATTTTTACACATCACTAAGGAAGACAGGTGAACTAATATCAGCATAATGGAAGAAGCAAAGATCACCAGTGTGGAAGCAATGATTCTTCAACATCAACTTTGTTGGACTGGTCATGTTGTGCGGATGCCTGATTTTCATATTCCAAAGCAACTAGTCTATTCCGAATTTAAAAATGGAAAGCGTAATGTTGGTGGTCAACAAAAGAGGTTTAAAGACTGTCTCAAAGCAAATCTAAAAAAATGTAGTATAAACACTGACAACTGGGAAACACTGGCCTGCGAGGGCTCCAATTGGAGAACAGCCTTTACCAAAGGTGTCATGGGCTTTGAAGACACTCAAACTCAGGACGCAAGGGAGAAATGTGCTAAGAGGAAGGCACGCTTGGCAAATCCACACCGTGATCAACTCCCGCCCGGAAACCAATGTCCCCACTGTGGAAGGATGTGTGGATCCAGGATTGACCTCCAGATTCATTGTTAAAACCATGTTTATGGAAGACAATCTTACTTGGCTATGAGTGATCGCCAAAGAAGCAGCAGCAGCAGCAGCAGATTCTTTATTATTTTTTCTGTTCCTTTTTTCTTTATCTTTATTATCTAACATCTGTCTAACATATGTGTGTGCGTATGATCAATGTAAGGTTTGAATTGATGCAAGCTATGTTTTTTTCCTAATAAAAAAAACAAACATGAAAAAGAATAAAAGAAGAGTGATTACTTTCACAAGTTAATGGGTGATCATAAATAGAAACCAACAACTTTGCTATTGCATCATTTCAAACACAGAGGAGTCGGCTCATAAATTCAGTTGCGGAAAAGCATCGAGTTTGATCTAGAGTAGACTAAGTAGCTGAGTCAAGAGTAAGCCTGCTTATAGGCAGGTGTTTATTGTGGGGTCAGTGACCCTCTTGCACGCACATTTTTAGAATTGCCAGGATGTGTTCCTCAGCACCATTTTTTCCAGATTTACTCTGAACCAGTTAATGATATCAGAACGACCCATTTATAGCATTAAGCCCCCTCTGGGAGCACCATAACTTCCCCCATGGATTTCAATGGGATCTAAGTACAACTAATGTAATGTGGATCCAACCAAGAGGACTGGATTCTAAGATGCTCCTCCATTCATGTAATAAGAGCCATTTCTGCCCACTTCCTTTTCCAGATACAGCCCTCTACCACACTATGTCCAAGGAGCCCCCAAGCCTGAGGTCCATAATTGGGGTGTCATTGGCAGGGAGGAGGGAATGCCCCATTCTGTGCTTGCGGACCCTGTTCCATCCATGGAAGGGAAGTCAGGATCCAAATCATTGGTTGTGTTTGATGGTCCATTCATACACACAAGATAAGTGAAAAGGCAGAAGTACCATATTCCCTCCTCCCCAAATTCTGACCGTGAAAACTTAAAGTGCGGCTTAAATTCGTGACCTTAAAAAAATGGCCTTTTACGATATTGCTGCTGGAACAGACATACAGTAAAATGAAACAAAATAATGATTTATTGCCGATTTGCGAGCTTGAGACTGTTGTGCAATTAATTCCAATGTCATTCATCACTTTCCCCATATTTTATAGTGTAGTATTGATTTTTTTATTTGCATTTACGGTGCCACGAACAGGTGTTTAACCCACATGCGGGTCCTCTCTAGTACCCATAGGATTTTTCTTCTACATTTGCCATTTGGGGTGTGTGAATGCCTTTGGAACTTTAGCAACTGAATAGCGATTTGTGATTTTAGCGATTGTACGGTAACTTTTGCGGGCTTGCGAGATCAAAGGCTTAAATTGGCTCAGAGTTACAATTCTACCAACTGCAGCAATTTTCACCCTGCAACCCAATTTTAAGGGAGCGACTTATATTCGGGTATTGTCTTTTCTTTTCTCTCCCCCCCCCTTGAATTTTAAAGGTGTGGCTTATTTGCGGGTGCGTCTTCTATTCGGGCCAATACGGTATTCCATCAGAAAGCATGAAAAACACACACGAAAGTATGTATCTGAAATATACTCGGAGTCAAGTGTGGATTTCATGCTCTTTATTCAGCTCATAGTAGTGAGGAATGACAGTTCCCCCAAAATATCTGCTTTATATACATTATTTACATAATGGGCCGCACGTGATTGGCTAATTCCGGGATTCTCCTGTAGGCCAATCAGGTTGCAGGTTCACTTCCACCTGGAACTGGATTGGGTGGCTCCTGAGGACCAATCAGACTGCTGCATTGTTCTAGGACCAATCAGACTGCTGCATTTTGGATCCTATTGTTCTAGGACCAATCAGACTGCTGCATTTTGGATCCTAGTCAACTCAGTACATAACACCATCAAACCTCAGTTCCATTTTTTTTCAATGTGTGGGAAACCTCTTCCATCCTAAGGGCTGCATTCTTTTCTGGGTAAGGG